GGGTCTAGGGTTTAGGGTTCCCGGAGTGTCAGAGCCGCTATAGCAACATGTTTTCTGATGATGTTATAAACACAGGAATTCAAGATACACGGGCATTCAGCACGGGACGAAGCCGCCTCTGTCGGCATACTTTCTTGTTGGCTATGCACCTGCTTGTCTCTTCATGTCTTCGTTGCTGGCTTGCGAGCAATGAGAATAGTGATTGCGACGAACTTGTTGATGATAGGTGTGGCCATGAGTCATCCTCCCTCACCTTTCGAAAGCCATGTTGTTAGAACATCAAACCCCAGTGTAGGCGAAGGTTGCTCCGACAGCAAGCCCTCGCCTGAACCGGAGCGTGAACCAACACACCGGATTCTTAAGATTCTGCATGCGTGCTGAAAGGTTCCATCAGGTTTCTATGCGGCTTTGCGCGGGCTAAGAGTTTGGGGGAGCGGTTGAGAAATTCGCAGCCGAGGCTTCGGGTGCCGGGCTTTCAAAGCCCGCGTGTAAACCTTCATTCACGCCCCAGGGTTTAGGGTTTAGGGTTCAATACCAGAAGTCCCAATCCCCGAAACCCAGAACCTTACATCCTAAGCAGAGGATCCCAAAAGCCAACTACACGATCCACTACCCAGAACGTGACAATCAGGTGTGATATAGATTCTCTTGTTCTGTTACAGAACAAGAAAATCTGTCTCACACCTATTTAAACCCTGAAGCCTACAAAGACTCAGGTCATCTTTAGGGTTTAGGGGTTTAGGGCATCTAACCCTAAACCCTAAACCCTAAACCCTGAAGCCTACAAAGACTAAGATCATCTTTAGGGTTTAGGGTTTGGGTCGTGTGCTGCCCGGCTTCCCTGCCGGGCACGGCTCGCAGGTGCTCACCCCTGCAGCCGAGAAGTAGCCTTCTGGGCAGTCCTGGCCGGCTGTTCGGCTCCACTGGGCATTTCAGGGCTCCCCAAACCCTAAACCCTAAACCCTAAACCCCTAAACCCTTAAACCCTAAACCCTAAACCCTAAACCCTAAACCCTAAACCCTAAACCCTAAACCCCAAGCCCTAAACCTACACCATGAACCCGAGGCTCCTTTCCTTTCAGGGCTCTTTAAGTTCTCCTAGGGGATATACAAAGACCACAAAAGGCTTGCTACCGTGTGGCGCTCCTTAGGGGTGCTATAAATGGGTAGTTCTCTAAATTAGGGTCCCTTTTAGGGTCCCTTCATAAGGGTGCCGTGCTACATTTGGGACCAAAAAAAGGACCCTAATTTACAGAACTGCCCAAAAAAACAAAGGGACCCTTTTCCTAGTATTCAATCGTATAAATACGGTGCTGCCGGGATACACACATACCTCAGGTTTAGGCGTATACTTGGAGGGCAAGGGGACTTAGTAAGTAGGTTATAAGTAGAGTTATAAGTACCCTAAATGGAGTTACCCCAACTATAACCCTAACTATAACTGACTTCCTAAGTCCCCTGGACCTCCAAGACCCCGAAATACTCGGATTTCGATTCGTGGCCCCTCTCCTCGCAGACGGAGGCATCCGAGCTGTTCGAGAAACTTCCCTCCGGGCCTCGATGTCTTTGACTTCGGGTTCCGGACAGGGTTTAGGGTTTAGGGTTTAGGGTTTAGGGTTTAGGGTTTAGGGTTTAGACTTAGTAAGTCAGTTATAATTAGGGTTAGAGTTGGGGTAACTCCATTTAGGGTACTTATAACTCTACTTATAACATACTTACTAAGTCCCCTGGCCCTCCAAGTAGGGTTCCGGACCATGTAGGAGTAGGAGCCTTGATGAGTAGAACGTTAAGGTACGGTTGATGATATAAAACCCTGCATGACCCATAAAAAGAAATATACCATAACTCCCATAGCTTAGGGTCCTTAAAAGGTAATGCAGGATTTATATCATCAACGGTAGGGCTCAACTTTGGGTGCTAGGAAGGTTCGAGTGCTGAGGGCAGAGGTCGCTGAGGCAAGGTTTTGGGAATGAAGCGTACTCTGCATCGTAACATGGCCATTGTGCGCACTGCAGTGACTTTAGGGATGAGGTCCTTCCAAAGGCGTATGCAGTTCAGCAACGTTTCACATATGTTTTGTTGCTGATACTTCAGCATAGAACCCCGAAGCAACAGCCATTCAGAAGTATTCTCGGGACCGTCCTAAAGAGTCTCAGGGCCCTAGACTAGCTGGATGGAGAAAACGGGAAAAATGCAGCTCTCTTTTGCCTTAGGACTGAATCATAGCCAAGCCTCGAAGAAAGCCACTTGCTGCCCAAACCCTACCTGAAACATCAAAAAAAACTACCCTTGTGGGGATGCCTTGCTATGGTTTAGGGTTTAGGGTTTAGGGTTTAGGGTTTATAAGTCCGAGGTGGAGGGCCCCAAATATAGACCCGAGTCAGCAGGATGCTTGCTCATGACACGGCATCTGAATCTGCACCATCCAAAGGATGACTCTAAGGGCCTGAGTAATTAGAATAGGGTTTTGGGGTCCATTTTGCTATAAATACAACAGGGAACCCCCAAAAAATAGCATGGATCCTTTTTGAGGCCCCCGCATTCGCCTGAAAGCTGCTGAGCATCCCGACTCAACCCCACTAGAGCGAGTTCAAAACACTAAACCCTAAAAGCCCTAAAGACCCTAAACCCTAAACCCTACATGGCCCTAAACCCTAAAACCCCTCAAACCCCGTGCGTTTTCGAGCTTCGGGCTGCTTCGAGGGTCCCCCAAGACCCCAAAAAAATCGAAACACGGACCACACAAGAGGCGAGGGCTTACGGCTTAGGGTTTAGGGCTGAGGGTTTAGGGTTTAGGCGGTTTAGGGTTTAGGGTTGAGGGCTGAGGGTCTCGGGTTTGGGGTTTAGGGCTGAGGGTTTAGGGTTTGGGGGTTTAGGGTCGAGGGTTGGGGGTTCGACAACTCGAAGCAAAGCCCAACCTCAAAATGCTGCAGCCGGAAGAGAGGCAGGCAAGCTGCAGTCTTGGCAGCCACAATTGCTCCGATACTGGCCCGGTGTGCAAGACCTCAGTCGAGGCTACGAACCCGTGGCCGGAAACAAGTCATTCCCAGGCTCTCTAAACCCTGAACCCCTAACACCCGAAACCCCTACACCTCAAACCCTAAACCCTAAACCCCTAAACCCTAAACCCCTTAAACCCCCCTAAACCCCCTAAAACCCCCCTAAACCCCCCAAAACCTCCTAAACCCCCCTAAACCCCCCCAAACCGCCCTAAACCCCCAGATCCTGATTCCCATGTCCTAAACCCTACAAAGCACTTCACTCTCGACCCGAAACCTCTGACAACAAAAAACCCTAGTCCTAAACTCTCAAACCCCTAATGAAGGGGCCTTGCTAATTAGAATATAAGTCTTTTGGGGTTTAGGCTTTCAGGTGTTAGGGCTTAGGGGCCTGAATAGTTAGAACAGGCTGTTGGGGTAGATCGTGCCATTTCTTTAATAAGGAGCCCTTTAACTCTTTTGGCTCCTCAGCTCTCAAAACCCTAAACGCTAAACCCTAAACTCTGAACCCTAAACCCTAAACCCTAAACCCTGAACCCTAAACCCTAAACCCCAAACCCTGAAGCCTAAACCCCTAAACCTCCCCACACAACCCCCCCCCCTCCTCCGCTCCTGAGGACGTTGCAACCTGGAACCACCCCGACAAACTCCAAGCTCTGAGCTCTAGAATCCCCAAACATCCCTTGGGGGTTTAGGGTCTTGGAGGTTTAGGGTTTCGGGTCTAGGGCCGTTTAGGGCTTCGGAGTTTAGGGTTTAGGGGTTAGGATTTGGGGTTTAGGGTTCGGATTTGGGGTTTAGGGTTCGGATTTGGGGTTTAGGGTTTGGGGATTAGGGTTTAGGGTTTAGGGTTTTATACCCATAGGCCCCACAGTAGTTCGTTTTGGGGATTAACTTATAGGGTTCTACGTGTGGACCCAAAAAAGGAACTACTATGGGGCCCATGGGATAGGGCCGTTTAGGGCTTCGGGGTTTAGGTTTTAGGGGTTAGGATTTGGGGTTTAGGGTTTGGGAATGAGGGGTCTAGGGGTTTAGGGTTTAGGGTTTAGGGTCCGGGGCACTCAGGGGTTTAGGGCGTAGGGCTTAGAATCTCCTCCGCACACTTTGAGGGCGAAGGGCGTCAATGACCCGCAAGGCACGCAGAGACGGGAGCCATTGGAGAGTTCTTGCACCGATTCCTCCGAATTGTATGGGATTAAAGGACTAGGCTTCAGGGTTGAGGGCTTGGCGTTTTAGGGTTTAGGCCCCTTTAGGGCTCAAGGTTTAGGGTTTAGGCTTTAGGCTTTAGGCTTCAGGGCTGAGTGTTTTAGGTATAGGGTTTGGGGTTTGGGGCTTCGGGTTTTGGGTTTGAAGTTTGGGGCGCATGCAAGGGCTCTTCAAAGGCCTCTACGAGGGTGATAGTAAGGTTTTGTACATAGCTTCCCAAAAAAACCTTGTATAGCAAGGTAAGCCTTTTTCCACTAACCCCTAAACCCTAAACCCTACACCGCCTAAACCCTAAACCCCAAACCCTACACCCTAAACCCTAAACCCTAAACCCCAAAAACTAAACCCTACACCCTACACCCTACACCCTAAACCCTACACCCTAAACCCTAAACCCTAAACCCTAAACCCTAAACCCCAAACCCCAAACCCTAAATCCTACACCCTGAACCCTTAAAGAAAGAGACCCAAGATCTGATGAAGGCCTTCAGGGCTCTTCAGGGGACCTAGACACTGCTCCCCACGGAAGTAGCGGATGACCATGCGGGGTATGATCTCCTATACGGTTTAGGGTTTAAGGTTCAGGGTTTAGGGTTTAGGGCTTAGGGCTTAGGCTTTAGGGCTTAGGGCTTAGGGTTTAGGGTTTAGGGCTTTAGAGTTTAGGGATACCGCACCGCGGACTGTCGCTTTTGTATAGAAGGATCACAAGCGAATGCTGGCACCAGCTGGTAGAGAGGTCTCAGGTTGTTGCGCCATCCGATTTATCAGCAGAGGCCTGTCTAAAGTGCAGAATGGCATGCTTTTGCAGATTTTGTAGTCGTCTGTAACACCACGGCTCCGGAATACGAGTCCGGAGCGTCTTTGGACCTTGACCTTCCACAGCAGCAGCAGCAGAAAGCAAAGATTGGAACTGCCGAAGGATTCAAGGAAAAAAAGGTATAATCATTCAATTAACGATGCCTTCCACCTGGGCACCTGCCAAATCATTCAGGTTGCGGCTGTATCCCATATCCGATAAGCCCACGTGGCCAATTAACCGACGCTTCGGGAGGGGGGATATGTTGTACCATAGTGCTCGCAGTAATGTCGGTGAAGACTCCTGCTCCATCAGCACGCCCTCAACACCGACTTCCACCCTAAACCCCAAACCACACCAAACCCCTAAGCCCCAAACCGCAAAATGTACTCACCCCCGAAGTACTCCCAATGCGACTCTGCTTCGTTGTCTGAGCACCGGCGACAGAAGCGACGCTGCTCGACCTCGTCCTGGTGGTGAGTACCATGCTTCCCGAGTCTATACATCCCATTTCAGGAATTACGATATGGGTGGTTGTCAAAATTATGGTCCCTTTTGGGGTACCCTAAATAATAGGTGCCGTATTAGATTAAGGACCCAAAAAAGGGACCCTAATTTTGACAACCACCCATATCGATTTCGGGCTTATTCAGAATAATATAAGTCGTCAGGCTTCAGGCCTAAACCCTACAGCCCAAACCCTAAATCCTACAGCCCAAACCGTCGTCAGGTTAGGGGCCAAGGCTGATGCAGGGCTTACCTAAGCCTAAAGTCTCAATTGTAGTTCCGTTTTCTGGTTTAACCAA